CGTCCGGAGGTTCCTCCGCCACTTCGTCTTCATCAAGGGATTCGGCAAGCACGTTCAACGAGGAGGCTTTGGACCCGCTCACGCCCGAGGACTTCGCTTGGGGTCCTCTCCCTACAACGGGCAACCTTCCAGGGCCGCAAAGCGCAGCACTATGCACCATCTTACACGAGAATCTTTCATTCCATGCACCACCAACTTCGCCGACGGTAGAGGAAGTCGTGGTGGGGGACATGCTTGGCTATGTTGCCAAGGTGGCCCGCGAGTTTGTCTTACAACGGTACGAAGAAAACAACGCACCGTTGCTCTACGTTCGCATTCAGATTGGGCAAGCGGCCTGCAACGCTTTGCTAGATTGCGGCGCAACTCGCAACTTCATCAGMCAGTCCTTCATAACTCGGGCTGGCCTTGGCGCACAAGTACGGAGGAAGTCACATCCGACGACGGTCGCTCTTGCCGATGGTAAGACAAAACAGCTCTTAGACCGTTATATCTCGGCTGTCCCTGTGTACTTTGCACCGCACGCATGTGAACCCGTCACTTTTGACGTGTTGGACACCGACTTCGATGTCATTTTGGGGATGCCTTGGCTCTCTAGCGCGGACCACACAGTCAATTTCCATCCACACACGCTCACGATTCGTGATGCAACTGGCGCCGAGGTCTCGTGTACTATTCCTCCTCCTCGCTCTCCCATTCAGTACCAAGTCGCGAGTGCCAAATGTTTTCGAGACACATGCTGTTCCGAGCATGTCGAAGAGATTGGCATCGCTTTTCTTCGAACCGTCCCGATGACCGACTCATCGTCCACGGATTTGTCTTCCGACATTCGTGTGACCCGGTTGTTAGACAAGTTCTCGGATGTTTTTAAAACACCCTCCGGTATAGTGCCGGACTGGCCGATCTCTCACGAGATCATACTTGAGGCCTGCGCCGTGCAACTGAAGGGATGCATTTATCGCATGTCCGAGGAGGAGCTCACGGTTCTCCGTGCGCAATTCGACGATCTACTTGACAAGGGTTGGATCCGCCCTAGCAACTCACCTTACGGTGTGCCCGTTCTCTTCGTTTGGAAGAAGAACAAGGACCTTCGACTTTGCATTGCCTACCGACGCCTCAACGCGCAAACCATCAAGAACGCGGGGCCTCTACCTCGCATTGACGATTTGCTTGAGCGGTTGGGCGGCGCCAAGTACTTTTCGAAGTTGGACCTGAAGTCGGGCTACCATCAGATTTCCATTCGCCCGCAAGATCGGTACAAAACCGCGTTTAAGACGCGATATGGGCATTCTGAGTGGGTAGTTATGCCTTTTGGCCTCACCAATGCCCCGGCCACCTTTCAGGCGGCCATGACCACCGAGTTTCGCGCTATGTTAGACCGTTTTGTCTTGGTCTACTTAGACGACATCATCGTCTATAGTCGAACTCTAGAGGAGCATCTCCAGCACCTTCGCCGTGTTCTAGAGACTCTTCGGTCAGCCTGGTACAAGGCCAACCGTGACAAATGTGAGTTTGTCCGGCAAGAGCTTGAATACTTGGGCCATCTTGTATCTCCGAAAGGCATTCGTTCGTTGGCGGACAAGATTCAAGCCATCCAGGAGTGGCCCGAGCCGAAGAATGTGACGGACGTCCGATCCTTCCTCGGCTTGGCCAGTTATTATTAGCGCTTCTTCAAAGGTTACTCGAAGATCGCGGCCAACCTAAGCAAGTTACAAAGCGAGGAGCGGCCTTTTGACTTCGACGATGATGCGCGCCATTCTTTTGAAACACTCAAAGCGGCACTCTTATCCGCCGAGGTGTTACATAATTACGACCCGCTTCTAGCTACGCGCGTCACTACCGATGCGTCGGGATATGACATTGGGGCCGTCCTTGAGCAGCACGATGGCACGGACTGGCAGCCGGTCGAGTACTTTAGCAAGAAAGTACCTCCCGTGCATTCGATCGACGATGCACGGAAGAACGAGCTTCTTGCCTTCGTCCACGCCCTCAAGCGTTGGCGACACTTTCTCCTTGGTCGGAAAGCATTCCGATGGGTAACGAATATCAATCCGATGGGACACGATTAACAGTATCATTGCCGGTTGGATGACTTTCATCGATCAGTTTGACTTTTTCCCCGATCACATTCCCGGGAAGTCAAACCGTTTTGCGGACGCCCTCTCACGGCGACCAGATCTTTGCACCGCTGTCTACTCTACCTTCGAGATCGACGACGACTTGCGGGAGAGCTTCATCCGCGGCTATCAAGCCGACCCCCACTTTCCCGACAAGTACACAAATTGCTCCTCTCCGAATCCGGTGCCTTCGCATTATCGGATCCAAGAGGGCTACTTGCTTGTGCATTCATGGGGTAAGGATCTTCTTTGTGTGCCGAGTGATTCACACTTGCGCACACAGCTTCTTGGTGAGTTTCACGATGCGCCCGCCTCCGGACATTTTGGTGTCAACCGTGCACTTGGCCGACTTCGCCAGCGGTTCTATTGGCCCGACCTTCTCAAGGACACCACCCGCGATTGTGAGTTGTGCGAAGTCAATCGGCGTTGCAAGTCACACAACCATCGTTCGTTCGGCGAGCTACACCCACTACCAGTCCCCCTTGGGCGACGGGAAGCGATTGCTATGGATATCACCGGCCCCTTCCCRAAGCACAAGACCGGCGTTGATGGGATCCTCACGGTCATCGACCGCCTCACCAAGTACGCCATGTTTTTGCCTTGCTGCTATCACGCAAAGGCACCGGAGTTAGCCGAGGTCTTATACAACGGTTGGATTCGCTGCAAGGGCTACCCTAAGGAGATCGTTTGCGATCGAGACACTCGTTTCCTCTCCGACTTTTGGGTCGCCCTCGTCAAGCGATGAGGCTCCTCTTTGAAGCCGAGTTCGGATCGCCACCCGCAAACCGATGGTCAAACGGAAAGGGTGCATCACACCGCTCAAGTCCTTCTACGCACTCTCATCCGTCCCGACCAGGTCGATTGGATTGAGCGCTTGCCGGACGTTGAGTTGGCTTACAACTCATCGATCCATCCGGGTATCGGGATGTCGCCGTTCGAGTTTGAGCATGGTTCACCCATCTCATCGTCGCTGGACGCCATTTTGCCGCGCACAGCCAAGAGCGACGACCATCTTGCGTTCCTTCGTCGCATGCAAGAGCTCTTTGTCAAGGCACGGGATCAAATGTCAAAGACGCAAATACGGATGAGCCGTCAAGCCAACCGCAATCGTCTCCCTTGCCCGTTACGCGCCGGCGATCTGGTTTGGGTCTCTGCCGTAGATTTCAGCCTTGAGCAAGACATCTCTCGCAAGCTCCTTCCCAAGTGGATGGGGCCTTGGCGCATTCTCTCTGTAGTTGGTGATGATCCCGAGGGGCCTTCATTCCGCATCGCGTTACCACCTCACTTACTCGTCCACCCGGTGTTCCACTGTTCCAAACTCGCTCCTTTTGCTTCAGCGGAGTCCAACGAGTTTCCTGGCCGACGTACGCAAGACCTTCCTTCCATGGACGGATTTCAGGAGGCCGGCTACATCATCACCGACCGGCGCCATGGCAACAAAGAAACGGAGCTTCTACTTCACTTTTCCTACTGCAGCCACAAGGCTGACCGTTGGCTGACGCGTTCGGAACTGCATGCCACAGCTCCCGCTGTTCTCTCACGTTATCTTAGCAAAGGGTAAGGAGGGGGCCGTGTTACATGCTGAAAGCCTACACACGGGCCCCTCATGAGACCTGAAGTTGGAATAGGGCCCCCAGGTCGCGTCACCGCCACCTGAAGGCCCTACGGCCTTTTTACTTGGGCCTGCATCAGAAAAACGCCAACTTTAGATTATTTTTATAGTCTTTATTTTATTTATTTGCTGCTGTTTTTCTAACGGGTGTACTGTTGTCCGTTTTGTGGCCAGGTACCCGTTTTAGGGCCAAGGCCAGATTCACGCCTAGAGGTTGTACCTCTAAAACCGTTTGGACCGACGTTCAGGCCCAATGCATTCACACAGGCCCTGAATCGGACCAGGCACCGAACAGGCCCTGTCCTGGGCAGGGCTTGGACGTCCGGTAGGGACCCAGGCAGGCCGTTTTAGGCCAAGGGCTAAACCAGTTTCGAAGCCTGCGATCGGGACCATGGATCGGAGTTTCGATCTACACGGTCCAAAACGAAGGCCGTGGACTTACTAGGCCCGGCCCAGCGCTACTTAAGCTGGGCCAGCGCCCAGTTCTGGACAGAAGGTACGAGGAGAAATTCCAGCGTTATGCTGGTTCAGAGTTCCCCTTGCTGCGCTATTTTGGAGAACTGCCGCTGGGCTAATTTTGGTTGCGCTATTCTGCGTTGTTCTACAGCGCTAGCTGGAGGGAAGCTGCGCTTTCGGGAGATGCTGCTGCACTAACCCAGCGCCAGAGAGAGAGTTAGAGGAGTTAGTTGGAGAGAGAGAGAGAGAAGAGGACTTACCTGTACCAGCGCCATAGCTGGCTTCGCGG